TTTTTTTGTGTTTTATAGCTATGAGCGGTTTATAAATAGAACTGGAAGAAGATTAGTTTTAGTCTTATAGAATTATCATCATTTCAGTAATAATAAATTGCATGTAGATTTTAAGAAGAATTTTTATAAAAATAGAGTATTTTCGATTACCTAGATTTGATTTTGTTGGTTTGTCGTTTTTAAATATATTGAATATTTTTTTTTGAGATTGAGGACATGGATTTAATGAGTATAGGGTAGAAATGAATTGTCTGATTTTCGATTTTAAATACATAGGGGCGACAAAAAGTTCTCGTAACAGCTCTCTAAAATTTCGTCCTAATTGATCTTATTCCTCATATTGGCCTGTTCTAGTAATGACATCTGTTATGTATTAAAATATCAATACGAAGTTTCATAAGTGTCTATCATGACAAATGTTTAAAGAATTTTTTCATGAGTAGAAGTAAAGCAGCTGTGGTACGTTACTTGACTGGAGAGTGTTGTTCGCGTTCTACTTTCTAAAAAATAGGAAATCGAATACCGTTCTCGATCTAAAAACGGGGAACGCAAGATATGTTTTGATAGCTCAGAACGTGGGGATACCATATTTTGTGCTATTAGTGTTAAATTAGCATGCTACCTGTATAACATGATTCAAAATCCAATAAAGATATTTTTGATTCGTTCAAATTCCATATGATCATTTAGATACATGGTAAGACTATCAATAACTATATACTAAGACAAATGTTATCTTAAATAGGCGCAAGACTGATTATAATATTATAATGGTTGCTTGAATAGATAATTTTCATGCCAGCAAAATACAGGAGTAGTTTTATTAGCATTCAATAATTTCACAAAGCATAAGTTACAAAATAGTCACATAACAGTTTCACATAAAACAAAGTATTTCAACAAAATAGTTCACAAAAAAGAGTACGTTAACCCTTTACACTCTAGCACCAATCCAGCAGAACTGGTATTAAGTCGACCATGGTAATAAATCATAAAAGTGCTCAATATGATACTGATAGGGTTGAATTTGAGCGAAGTCGTTTCCCTGCGGAGATATAAAATAGGTGGAAAATGATCCATTCGTCTTGAATGACATATAATTGGACTTCTTCTCAATTTGTTTCTTTTCACGATTTTTCTCAATTGTGTACTTATTTATCTAAACAAAGATAGAATTTTTGTCATATTACGAGTTATTCTCAAAAAAAGAACACTTTTCAAAACAATACATGACAAATTTAATTTCATTATAATCAAAAGTTACAATAAAAAAATGAATATCAGTCTAACACATGTATATTTATTTTTTACAATGATAGTTTTGGGTGTGGGTGTGGATGAGTTTGCTCTGTTTTTATCCATACTCACACACACACAACCACACCCACAACCACACCCACCCATTATTATACAAGTACACACACTTTACTTTAAAATTAAAAATAACCTTTTTTTGTCTGATTATTAGTTATAATAAACGTTTTTAGCACGTAGAAACCGTTAATAATGAGATTGTATTGTAGAAAAAACTCACACCAATAGAAAAATAAGTTTTTGCTTCGTGAATAAAATTGTCATCCGTACTCTTCTTCAAGGTTTTTTCTGCCAAATGGGTTGCACAGGCACCCCGTGTACTCCCCCG